ACGCCCGGATGTCGACGGCGCCGCCTCGTTCTCGTCGTTCAGGCTGCTTGTGCTCTTCTGCCCCTGCCCCGGGCCACCCATTACACCTCCTTGGCCGGCTGTCGGGGTTTGGCCTCAAGAGTACTGCTCTCTGTGACTGCCTCCTGTTCTTACACCCGTCCCACCTGGTAGACATCGTCAGTAGGCATTCAGCTCTAGAACTTCACCTGAACTTCGGCCCTCTGCCTCCCCGTTCAACAAACACTTACCATCCTGGCAGAGTGAACCTACAAGATCTAATTATTCCAGGGAAAATGACCTTCTATTCTAGAAGTATATTGTTGGACGTCTGTAAGTATTCCAATTGTTTTCATCAGCTCTTACTGTTATACCTTGCCGTTTTATTCCTACCTTCTTGGCCCCTTCCAGGATTATCTTCTGAACTTGAGAATATAAGAAGTAATAGATTAAATAGATGTAATCATTACCTAAAACACAACCAATTAGTCTACAAAAAAATTGTGTAAAATGTGTATGAATTAAGCGATAAACTGAAGAAGTAACAAGCGAAAGAGTTCCCTGACCTCAGGGTACACTATTGGTGAGATGTCCTTTCCTCTTGAAAAGATAACCAACAAAATCAGACAGTAAATATGAAGGCATTTGTGACATAAAGAAATGGACCGCCCTATAAAACTAGGTTTATAGCCTCCAGGTTGTCTCTAACCATTTGACTTAAGTAAATTGCATAACCTCTCTGGACTTAATTTTCCTCATTTGCAAAATGAGAGGATTGTGTTGGATGATTCTTAGGTCTTTTCCAGCTTTTGAACTTTCTAAAACTCTCCAAGCAATGCCAAATAAATGGTACAAATTTACATAGCATTTTGGAAAAGAAAAGGATCGATTCCAGCTGGTGTGTTAAAAGAAGATGTCCTAAGGAGCTAGGATTTGAGTAGTGCTGTGGCAGATAGTTTTTGGATGGGTAGAAAGAAAGAGGACAGGTGTTAATATATTAAAGACAACACATTATGTATCCTACCTAACAATCCATTAAAGTAAACGAGCAAAGCATTATTCTTTTTCAGTGACTTGAAAACTTTCACCTACTATCTATAGCTTTAAATAAAAAATGACAATTCTTGGGAGCCTGGCTGGCTCAGTGGGTAGAGCATGCAACTCTTGAACTGGGGGTGGTAAGTTCCAGCCCCATGTTGGGCTTGGAGCCTCCTACTTAAGAAAGAAAGAGAGAGAGAAAGGAAGGAAAAGAAATGACAATTCTCAGACTCTACAAGCCCTTCAAGGTTAAGCTCTTTCTCCAGTATGAAAAAAAAAAAAGTCAAAATACAGATGGTCCCCAACTTACAATTCCATGTATGACTTTTCATCTTAACAGTGGTTGAAAGTGATACTATTCAGTAGAAACCGTACTTCACATTTTGAATTTTGATCTTTTCCTGGGCTAGCTGTATGTGGTAGGATACTCTTGTGATGCTGGGCAGCAGCAGTGAGCCACAACTTCAGTCATCCATTTGATCAGGAGGGTAAACAACTGATAAACTTACGAACACTTTGTACCTACCTATATACAACCATTCTATTTTTCATTTTCAGTACAACATTCAATTATATGAGCTATTCAACACTTTATTATAAAATAGGCTTTGTGTGAGATGGTTTTGCCCAACTGTAGCTAATGTAAGTGTTCTGAGCACATTTAAGATAGGCTATGATGTTCAGTAGGTTAGGTATATTAAATGGATTTTGACTTACAATATTTTCAGCCTCCACCAGCTTATCAGGACGTAGCCTTTTCCGTGAGTCCAGGAAGAACTCTAATCAAGGCATGCTTCTTATAAAGGTCCTTATAAAGGTCCACTTTCTAGAGATAGTGCAGTTGCAGAACCATCCCTTCTTTATTCATGACGACTGCGTGTGTAGTTCAGTTAAGGGTGTTGATAATTCAGAACCTTTTGCTCCAGTAATGCCTGTGAAGATAATGTGTGGTTAGAGTAAGAAATTCAATTGATGTTGCAAAAAGTGATCATTTGTAGAAGGCACAGGAACTTTATGGATAAAAGTTAAATATAGTACTTAAAAAAGATTCACAGGAGAATTAGTGGGAAAATGGAAAACTTATGGGATATCTGGATTAAATGTGATTAAAAAGCTAGACCTCAGGCTAGCATCCTTAATATGAAAGACACTACTGTCAAATTAATGGAACTCGTATTATCTATTATATCTCTTACTCAAAAACTTGGCATTGAGGGTGCTATGGGCCTCTCCTGACTATATTAATCAGGAAAGATTTTGTTATGGTATAGTAATAAAATTTCCAAAATCTCCATGCCTTAACACAACAGAAGTTTATTGCTTGTTCATGCTTCATATGGATCAGACTCCCTCTGTTCTGGTCACTCCAGGAACCAGATTGATAGAGGGTCCACCATTTTGTAGCTATCTCACCTAGATCACAGCTACTGAGTTTGTGTGGCAGAGGAAGAGACTAAAGAATCCCCATGAACTTTTCATAGCCTTAGTTTGGGGAAAAAAAACAAATTACTGATCGAATTTCATTGGCCAAAACTAGTTACTTAGCCTCCCCCATCTGCAAAGAGACTTGAGTCCTTGAACCAAGTCAGGAGAAGTAGGGATATTGGTGAACGATACTAATGTTACCCACCCTGACCCCACCAGTGAGCTCCTATATATTATGAAAAAACTCCCAAGAAGTTTTATTCCATAACATTGGAAGTTATGCTTTCAAAAGTAAACTCTCTGTACTTGTTAAGAGTTGACTATCATGTAAATAGAATGGACCTTCCATTTTCTTCCCCTTTGTTTTAGTTGTATATTAAATCAATGTCAGTCTGTCTAGTGATTTGACATATCCAACCTACATTCCTTTTGCTAATTTTTTGACCTGACCTAAGGGATATTACCCTTAAAAACATTTTCTACTAATACTCTCCTCCCATGTTACATGTACTAATTGGAAGTGATAATCATATTTTGAGTAGGGAAATGTTTAATTAACACTACATAATACAAGTATCATACTATAGGTAGATGACTCCATGAACTCTAGGTTAAAAAGATTCTTCTTGGGGTGGCCGGCTGGCTCAGTTGGAGGATCATGCGACTCTTAATCTTGGGGGTGTCAGTTTGAGCCCCATGTTGGGGGTAGAGTTTAACTAAAAAGAAAAAAATATATATTATTTTTCCCTCAAAACTTGAGAAGTAGTACCCTATTAATCACATGGTGAACTGAGTACAAAAATCATTTCTGATCACAAAATTCACGGCTTTACTAGCTTTCTGCTATGGTAATGCTACAAAATTAGATTAGTTCAGCTCAACCAACTTTTATTGAGCATCTACTATGTGCCAATACTTTGCCAAGTTCTTGGAATAAAGCTATTAATGTAAGTAGGACATAAGTTCCTTGAGAGCAGAAATCATGTCCACCAGTGTATACCTAGAGATTAGCGTGATGCTTGGCACATATACTAGATGCTCAATAAATAGGTGTTAAGAGGGGCGCCTGGGTGGCTCAGTTGGTTAAGTGACTGCCTTCGGCTCAGGTCATGATCCTGGAGTCTCTGGATCAAGTCCCGCATCGGGCTCCCTGCTGGGCAGGGAGTCTGCTTCTCCCTCTGACCCTCCCCCCTCTCATGTGCTCTCTCTCATTCTCTCTCTCAAATAAATAAATAAAATCTTTAAAAAAAAAAAAAATAGGTGTTAAGAGAATGAAAGACAGACTCTGATCCCAGTGTGTATATGAAATAGAGCAATACATATGAGCTTGGTTTGCCTCACTTTTATCACTTATGAGCAGAAATTTCTATTAAGATTGCTGTTAGTCCTTGCAGAGTCTTTCTCTAGGCAGTGTGTTTGAAATGGGAATTTATACCTGCCTGTTCTATATATACCACATGGATTTCTTTTTGGCTGTGCTCCAAATATCTAACTGATATCTGCTCTTCCAAAATGAAGATTGCAGGCCACCAATAGCCTGTTAATGATAAGCTATGTACGTGTCACAGTTTCTATAGCACATTTATGTTAATTATTTCAGATCAGCCCTCCAAGGTATTATTCCTACTTTATAGACAAGAAAAAAATGTGACTTCTGTGGTTAACTACCTTTTGCAAACATTGAGCTCATAAGTGGCAGAGCTGAGGCTCAAACCTAGGTCATCTGAATTCAAGCCCGGGGATACTTCCCTTTATGCCACAGGTGCCTTCCCACTCGATGCTGCACACACAACTCCAGGATTTTCCTTCTTTCTAATGGGTAAGCAGCAGTAAAAGACAAGCATCCCCAGAGCTTCCTCTCAACACTAGTATTATTCCAATCCTCAGTGCTGTCTATTTTTAAGAAGCTAGAGATGATGTTAAATGTAACAGTGTATAAACCTGACCCATTGACAGAAAACTAGCAGGTCATGTTTTTTTTCCTTAGAAAATTTGCTTTAAGAAAACAAAACAAAATTAAAAGTTAGATCAGAAGACAGGAATAGCTTGGGATTTAATCACCATCTATATATATACTGTTGTCAAAATATATCTTCTACCAAAATCTTTATTTGCCATTGTTTAGATGTGTTGTGCTTTCTTTGAAAGGGTCAACTTAAGTAGGGACATTATAGAAAGGCCTAAAGAGACCTATAATTCAAGGTGGCTTCAGGAAACCAGCAACTCAAGATTTACAACCTCTTCAGCTGAAAAAATATAGCTCTAGCCACAGGCTTTAGTGAAGTTTTATTTGTATTTCAGTGTAGTGCATTTCTTTTTGTGACATTTCCCTTGGTGTTTTAGTTCGTTC